CCCTCCCCTCCCCGGCCCGCGTGCGCGCGCTGACGTGCCGACGCCCGCGGCTTCCATTGGCCCATTTCAATAGTCGCGGGACGCTTGAACTGCGGCGAGGAGCCCGGGGCCGCGGCTGCTGCTGCCGCGCGTGTCCTGGCCGGCCGGTGCGCCCGCCCGTGTGCCCTCCCGCGTGCGTGCGTGCGTGCGTGCGTGCGTGCGTGCGTGCGGACCGGACCGAACCGAGCCGGCCCGGAGCGCGGGGAGCCGAGCCGAGCGGAGCGGAGAGGAGCCGGGCCCCGGCGGGCTGGCCCCCCGCCATGCTGGGGCACACGGCGGCCGGCGCGGCGGGGCCGCAGCCCCCCAGGCTGCCCCGGGCCGCCGGCCCCGACGAGAACCAGGAGAACATCCACCCGGACAAGCGCGGCGGCGCCGAGCCCGCCAGGCCGCGCACCGTGCTGGGCGTGCTGCGGGCCAACGTGCGGGCCCCGGGCCCCGGCCCCGGCCCCGGCCCCGGCCCCGGCCCGGCGGCGGCGCTGGCGCCGCAGAAGTCCAAGAGCCGCAGGGTGAGAGGCGGGCGCGGGAGGGCGGGCTGGAACGCTGCCCGGCCGGCGCGCGCCCCGAGGCCCCGCGCTCCGCCGTGGGCCGGGGGTCCCGGCAGCGCAGCACCCCCCCGCCCCCGCCCGAGCCGGAGGGAGGGCCGCCTTTGCGCGGGATCGCGGGAGCAGCGCGCCGCCCCTCCCCCTCCCCCCAGGAAGTGGCAGCTGTCAAGCTCCCGGCCCGGCACAAAGGGGCTGCGCCTGCCCGCCCTCCCTCCCGGCCCGCAGTGCCCAGGCTCATGGTGGGGGGGGGCCCCGAGAGCTGGCCCCTCCCTGCCGGTGCCAAGGGGCGGGAGGCCCAGCAGCTGACCCCTCCCTGACGGTGCCAAGGGGCGGGGGGGGGGACGGGAGCCCCAGGAGTAGATCCCTCCCTCTCTGACAGTGGGGGGGGCTGGCCCCTCCCTGCGGATGCCAAGGGGCGGGAGGCCCAGCAGCTGACCCCTCCCTGACGGTGCCAGGAGGCTGGGGTGGGGGGCCCCAGCAGCTGCCCCCTCCCTGCGAGGTGACCCCGGGTGTATTTGCAGGTGGTCGCGCCCCTCAGGGAGGTCCCCATCCACGAGGAGCAGGGCATCGTCCCGCCATGGAACGCCACCAGTAAGCAGCCCACCTTCACGATTCACGTGGATGAGCCGGAGGCCGACCCCGGGAAGAAGCCTCAGGCCCCTAAGAAGGCGGACCCCGAGGATGAGGCGCTGGGCTTCCACTCCGCCCTGTCGCTGCCCGAGCCCAGGAAGCCCCTGGTGCCCCTTGATTATCCGATGGACGGCAGTTTTGGTGAGCCTTTGCAGCTGGTCTGCGCTTGGGGCCCTGAATGCCGAGCCCAGTCCAGATGGAGGCAGGAGCAGAGCCGTGCTGGTGCCCTTCTCACATCCCAGGACGCCCCTGCCAGCCTTGCGGACCTGCTCTCCTAGCGAGGTCGGGGGTGTGCTGAGACACTTACCCCTGGTGTCCTAGCAGAGGCCGTGTGAAAGCCCAGGCCGGGGTGGCATTGCCCCTTCAGGAGACCCCTGCCTGCAGCCCACGCGCCAACCCTAGCGCCCCCACAGAAGTTAAGTCTGCGCTCCCTCTGCCGTACCCGTAGGGTACGGCTGTTAGAGGCAGCTTGGGCCTGGAGTCAGTTGGGCAAGTCACTTGACTTCTCAGCCGCTGTTTCTTCAGCTGTAAAATGGGGATCATCATAGCACTTGCCTCCCCGGGTTGTTGTGAGAATCAGATGGGATAATGTTTGTAAAGTGCTTGTTAGCACGGTGTCACACAGATGTTTGCAGTTATCACCGCTGGTATATTAAGTCCGTGTCGGTAGCCGCATAGAATTACTCACCGAGTAAGACAGTATCAGTATCCACTGCGGTCCCCGGGCCACATAAGCTAGGCTAGGTCTTCCCTTAAAATGCAGGGGAGGCGTCTGCAAGATTTGATGCTAGCAGTGTGACCTTGGGGGCGTGCTGTCACTTCTGAACCTCAGCTTCCTTGTTCGAAGAATGGGAATGTGGGTGCTCCTCACGGAATGGCTGGAGAAGCTAAGGTGCTATAGAAACTCGAGGCATTGGTATTGTTCCTAGAGATGGCTGGAAAGAGGATGGATGTCATTTGTAGGAATCCCATTTACCAGGGTCGCCGGTTGACTGGGGTCAGGCATCCTCTGAATTTCGACCGTTTAAACACTTGAGGCAATGAGATGATTAACCTTGGCCCCGTGTCTCCCGAAATGTTCTCAGAATCTCCCCTTACCATGGACATGTCAGTGGTGCTGGAACCGGAAGACAGGCCGCCAAACGTCAACGAGGTCCCTGACTACCATGAAGACATCTATCTGTACCTTAGGGAAATGGAGGTAAATCAGAGTCTGGGAAGGGACAGCTGGCTCATCCAGACAGCGCACAGGGTCCGGCCACCCTCACCCTCGCCGTTCACTTCTCTCACCAGGTCAAGTGTAAGCCCAAGGTGGGCTACATGAAGAAGCAGCCAGACATAACCAACAGCATGCGTGCCATCCTGGTGGACTGGCTGGTGGAGGTGGGGGAGGAGTACAAGCTCCAGAATGAGACCCTCCACTTGGCCGTGAACTACATCGATCGGTTCCTGTCCTCCATGTCGGTGCTTCGGGGGAAGCTTCAGCTGGTCGGGACTGCTGCCATGCTCCTGGCCTCGTAAGTCGGTCCCCCGTGGGGGGGGGGCTCCCCTCAAGGCAGGATTGAGTGACTTACTGATCGCTTGGTGAGCCAGGCCGGCTTTCAGAGACCTGACCATGGAAGTGGGGGCGTGATGGCTCACACCTATGGCAGGAATGGGGCGGGCAAGCATGTTGCATTTTTCCAAAAAGTTAACGTGTCGGTCTGAACTTTCTTCCATATCTGGCTTATAGAAGACCTGAGCTCATCAAGGAGCGTGAGTTTTCAGTGTGTGGCTACACATGTGATTTTCCTTTGCTTTTGGGAGTGTAGCAGTGTTTAGCAGAGGGGCTGTTCTCCTATTTTGGAGGTGGCTCATTCAGGCAGTAGAGGGCAGCACCAGTTCAGAAGCTGGAGCCCCGCTTAGGTTCATGGTGGGCTCCTTCCACACAGGGCCACCATCTTCAGCAACGGCTCCTCGTCCTGTCTGGCGCTTGGGTGCTGGCACCACCACTCTTTGGGTCCGGCCCCTCCCTCCTACCACAGGCCAGCTGCCCATCCTGCCCTTCTCACTTCACCTCACTCCCGGTCTTAGGGCCCCATGCTCGTGTGGTTTCCTACAGTCCCTCACCTTTTACTTGTCGCCAGCTTTGTGTCCCTCTCAAGTGTAACGGTCTGTGTCCTTGGTAATTACGAGATGCCTCAATAAATCTTCCTGCCACACAGAACTGCTTCAGTGCTTTGGTTTTAGCATCGTGATTCCTGGAGCATTGGCTGGACTCTTCCAGGGGTCCAGCCACATAAAGAACCTTCCTCCATTCACATAACAAGTTGGAGCACTGCTATTTGGGTCTTCCCATAGGGCTGAGGGCCGAAGGCGGAGCCAAAGCTGGGGCAGAAGGTCAAGTCTAACCCCGTTCTCCCCGTGAAGCCTCAGAGGCCTAGAGCAGGGAGGGGACCACCTAGAATCCAGTGGTGGCAGGGCCGCATTTCCAAACCAGGTCTGTGCACTCAGCTGCATTTGGCAAGCATCACGTCCCCACGATGTACCAGTGTCTCTGCTAGCCGGGAGCTAGAAATTCAAAGACCAGAGTCTGTCCCCAAGGTGCCTACCTCCTGAGGGGGGCTACCGTGGAGATACAAGCGTATGGCAAGGAAGAGCAGGAGGTGGGAGGGGGTTTTATCAGCTGCAGCAATCAGGGAAGGCCTCACTGTTGAGGAGATACGCAGAAAGTCACTGGGGTTAAGTGTTGGAGGTTAGTATTCCAGACCTGGGGGACAGCCTGTGGAAAGGAAGAGCAAGAAGGCATTTGGCTGTTGCTAGAATTGTAACCGAGGTATCTATATGTGATCCCAGAGGCACCAACCAAGAGACCAGGTGGGAGGTTACTGCAGTAGTCCAGGTGAGACACGAGAACCGAACTGGGAGTGGGGGCTGTGAGTAAAAGATGTCAAGACAGGCTGGCAAGACTGGGCAGCTTTGGGGCAGTCAGAGAGGCCTGAGGTGGTGAGCTGGGTGCCTGGAAGCAGTGGTACCCTTGGTGGAATGGGAGAATTGAGGAGTTGTGGTTTGGGCTTGGTGCACTGGGTGTGCTGCCTGGAGGCTGTCTGGGGGCAGTGAGCAGATGGCTGTGCCACCAGGTGTTAGGACTAGGAGGCCCTCAGCCACGCCAGAGCATGATCCCTTCACGGCAGGCCGTCGGCCAGGTTTCTGCTGATAGCTTTGACGATGAAGGCACTTACTGGAGGAAGACAGGTTTTGTTTCCATCTAAAAGCACTGATTTTGGCTGCTTTCTTCCATTCTAGAAAGTTTGAAGAGATCTACCCCCCAGAAGTGGCCGAGTTTGTGTACATCACAGATGACACATATACCAAGAAGCAGGTCCTAAGAATGGAGCACCTGGTGCTCAAAGTGCTGGCTTTCGACCTCGCCGCCCCAACAATCAACCAGTTTCTCACTCAGTATTTCCTGCATCAGCAGCAGGCCAATTCCAAAGTGGAAAGTTTAGCAATGGTAAGTGTCCCGAGTCATCATGGGATGTCTCATGACTGCAAAGGCATCCCTTACGTGGAATCGGTCTCCCTCGCCATAATTTTCACGCACTGTGCCTGGCTCTGCCTGCTGGGGCCAAATGATTTTAACCTCTTTTCTACAAAGCAGCCCTTCAGGTAGTTGAAAGCAAACATCCCCTCCCCCTACATCAGGAGTCTTTTGGGTCCTGGATCGCTTCTCAGAATGCTTAATGCATAAAATACCACCCAAGAATCCAATGATGGTGAAATACAACGACCAAAATAGTAGGCAGCTCATGGACTGTTAGGAGCCCTTGGCCCAGACCTTCTCTTTTCCAAGTTAACTTCTCCAGCTGATCTCCTAGGGCCTAACTCGGAATCCTTCACCAGCCTCCCCGTCCTTGGTCAGTTACAGTCCCTCCATTTAAGCATGAGGCTACAGAGGCCCAGAGCCAACGGAAAAGCCAGTTAGTAATAAGAATTTATTGTGGAGAAAGGACTGCAATTGGTAGCTCATTAAATATCCCCACCAGGTTAGATTCTGTTATTCATGTTGACACATAAAACTTTTGTTAACGTCTCAGGTAGAAGTGAAATTAATCATTAAATATGAAAACTTTAACATTTCTAGTTTCTGGGAGAGTTGAGTTTAATTGATGCTGACCCATACCTGAAATACTTACCGTCAGTGACTGCGGGAGCTGCCTTTCACATAGCCCTCTACACCATCACTGGGAAAAGCTGGGTATGTATTTATGGCCCTGCAAATAGTGCTGAAGAGCTGTCTTTATAAAATGTGAAATCGTAATGGTTTCCTGATTTCCTTTTATGAAGGAAAAGCCATTTATAGAGCAGTATTTGGCTTACAAATCACATTTGGGAAACAATCCTGGGACCGGGGTAAGGACAAACATTCCTCCCCTTGATAGAAAAACAAGCAAGTTAGCTAGCTACTGAAGGAAGCGAACATTAAGACACATTCAGCCGAAGGGCAGAGAAACTGCAGCTCCATAGGCCGGCCAGTGCCTCTGCTCTGGTTCAAGCTTTAACTCAACCTATTTCAAGAATCTTTTGAGTCTAAAAAATGGGGAATGATGAAAAGATGGTGCTTGACTCATTTCTGGGGGAGCCACAGCATCGTTCCCAGTTGGGCGGGCCTTCCTGGTCCAGGAGAAAAGGGATCTGCACTCATCTAAATGCCCTGCTCTTGTCTCTTTCCTGTAGCCTGAGTCATTAATCCAACAGACAGGATACACCTTGGAAAGTCTTAAGCCCTGTCTAATGGACCTCCACCAGACCTACCTCAGAGCGCCACAGCACGCACAGCAGTCTATACGGGAAAAATACAAGACGGCAAAGTAAGAAAGCATCTGCTTGAGTGGAAATCTTTTCATGTAACCCCGGTGAAGCAAGCACGTTTCTGTCAAAGTGTGGCTGCATGTCTTTATGATTTATAAATGATCTGTTCTGGAGGTCAGAATACGACATTTAAAAGCCAGCAAGCATTTATTAAGTGCTTACTGTGTGCCCTGTGGGCATTGTGCTCAGTGCTAGAGATAGAGAAAGGGCAAAACCTTCCCTGGCCCTCACGTGGCTGGGGAATCAGATGGTATTCCCCGTCTTGAGTGGAGGCACAGGGATGGGGGCCTCTGACCTGTCAAGAGAAAGAGAGGAGGAGGATTTGGGAAGGAAAGATAGGATACCCTGACCGTCCATGGGGCTTTGCACACATACCCAGATGGTTGTTAAATCATAAACTTCTATGCTCTCCTCACCCCTGAATGTCTTTATCCCGCCACACAAACTATGCCTGTCTTGAGAAGCTGCTCCCACTAAACCTCTAAATTCATAGACCTCAGACAAGGAAGGGTAAATAAGTACAGGGTGAGCTTTTGTACCAACGCTGCGGTCCCTCCCATCGTGAGCCCACCAGTTTTATCTTAGCCAAGGTCAGGGATATGCAGAAGCTGCTCCTCCAAGGGGGCTGAATTTCCCTTTCGTTTTCTCTCTCCGTCGCAGGTACCATGGCGTATCCCTCATCAGCCCTCCAGAGACGCTAAACTTATAGTGAGCGAGAGCCTTATAGTTGTGACTCCAGCAGAAGCCGTGCTGGACAGCTTTTATTGTGGGCCCAGGTTTCTTCACAAAGAATCACTTCACAAAGCCCAAGTTGTGGTCGATTACAGATTATGAAGTACCTTTTTTGATTTTTATGATTTTAAATGTAAATCTTTCCTATGTGCAATTGTCCTGCATGTTTAGCTGCAGATTTAAGTGGTGTTGTTTATGCATAGTGAGTATAACCAAGCCTGTACCTTAGGATAAGAATTTGGACGCCCCTAACAGGTGAAGACTGTGGTCAGAACCTGGCTCGCTCACGGAGTGTTTGAACATGAGCAGCGGTACAGGACAGCCCAGTAGGAGGACTTTCCAGGATAAAGTTTAGAATGTTGGCGGACTTCCCTAAGATTGGCGTGGCTCGGGACAGCATCAGCACCTGAGCCCGGACACACTCTTCCAGCGCGGGTGACGGTAGGGAATGGTGTTTCTGGAGCAAGTCCCTGCAGGCGGCCGTGTGTGTGCCATCCGCCAGTGCTGTGGCGCTATCTCGCCTGCTGCCTATACAGCTCTCGTGGTGTAAAATAGATTGGGATTTTAAACAGAAACCATGTGTAGCCCTTCTTCTTGATGATGCACACCACTTGTGGACCCTGACGACCCAGAGGGAGCTGCTGATGGGCAGAAGGGCGTTTCTCAGGCTGGTCCCTACAGATTGAAAGCCTTCTTTGCAGCCTTAGTGACATTGCCAAACCCCAAACAGAAGGGAGGAAACTCCAAGTCATCCTTCATATTAATAATGGATTGTATGTATAGCTAGCAACTAGCAGGACCTGGGGCCTGACTATAAATTAGGACCTGATGTGGGATAGAAACAGGCCCCATTTTTCAGGTGAAAGAAATATTCTAAGAGATTAAGTGACGACTCAGTGGCCCAGCCCCTCCAGGGAGGTCTGTCCCTCAGACCATGCCACCTGCCTCTCTGGGCCTTCCCCTCAACTGTCTACAATCACAAGGAGATTCAACCTCTCAAATTAATCCAATGACACGAGACATTCTCTAGATACTTTATTTTAAATCAAGAAAACATACATGTAAAAATCCACAACACTCCTGAACGTACTCTCCAGTAGTGTTTTGGAAGCTTTAGTCAGCAGGCTGCTTCTTTTTCTTTCTAATGGCTTTTTTACTTGAGACTTTCCCCTGTTGAGAGTTGGCCTGTACTCTGTAAACAAATGAAATCAAAGCCTAAGACATGTATCCAATTATAGACACGTCTTTCTAGATGTTTCTTTTGGTAGGAAATAATACTTAGTGAGCAGTCAGCTTGGAGGACAGACTGGTGCGTCTGCCAGGCCTGTCTGAGAAAGGCATCGCCTGGGATGACTGCTAGCATTGTCAGACCCCACCTACACTTCACACTCAACCAAGGAAAATTAATTGCTGGGTCATATCCACCTTTAAATAATGATGAAAAAATCTTTTGTCGAGGCCTCAGGCCAACATGTGACTTCACATCAGGCCTGGCTGTCTTCCCCGTCCCGAGAAGCTATCAGGTACAACAAACTGTCCAAATTGCTTCGTCCAGTGGAAGTTGGTCCAAATGACTCCATCTTAACCACACTTAAAATGGGCTTATGTGAAGAGTTCAAGCTCTCTTCTTTTCTTTGACCTTCACAGACTTTTGTCATACAGTACACATTTTTAAGAAAGCCCAGACAGCCTTTCCTGGACAATTCACTATAATCAGTATAAAAAGGAATCTTTGGTGGCCGTCTGCTGAGGTTTATACTTTTACATATGCATTTTAAAATTCTACATTTGGAGAAGAGATGTTGATAATGAAACATAGTATCAAGAGTTGAATTACCATTTGCATTAACATTAATAACTGCTGAAATAAATCAAATCCTTCAGTTACCTTGTTTTCTTTGGATTTTCTCCTGGTTCTAAAATGATGATTTCATCTTCTTCACTGTCTGACAGAACTATAGGAGTATCTTTAAGAAATAAAAAAATCCTATTAAGTTAGGCAAAAGTGTACAGACGAGATGATGCTAAATAGTTTCAATAAAAGTATAGTTCAGAATAACCGCGAGCCCTAAAGAGTGCAGGTGATGAGTCAATGTCAGTAGATGGCTATCTTAGAGGACAGTTGGTGAAGGCCAGCTCTAACGTGTTGTATTTTATTTCCGATAAGGGGCTCTCTGTACATAGCAGGTCTTCAATAAATGTTTTCTGTATGGATTATTCAAAAGCTGTAATATATAGATTTCATTAAATGAATTATTGAATTTTGTTTCCAAGAAATAATTGGCTTTGGGGGAAAGCACGGTCTCTAGGTGCAGCTGGCCAGAGTGTAGGGCTTGGAGCCCGTTTCTCTAGGTGCCGCGGGCTGTGGGTGACAGGGAAGCTCTACTGTGTGCTCAGTGAGACAGATGAGGCCACACCTGCCCTTACACGAATAGGAATGTCTCTCCAAGGACTCTGGGAAACTACATGTGTCGGGTTGGTTGGTCTGATCACCTGTATGCATTCACTGAGAAGCAGTGGGTGCCAAATTCAGAATCACCAAGACCTAGGTTCAAATCCTGCTTCAGACATTGGCTAGCTGCCAGGACACGTGTTTGTGAGCAGAACTGCACTGGTGGTGGGAATTCCCCGCACAGTTAAGAGCATGGGGGTCCTAATCTGGTGGGGCTACCTATTTTAAACCACGTTGCGATGAAGTGAGCTAGTCCCTCCTCCACCCTCCCAATCAAAGTTCAGAACCTGAGATAATGGTCCAGGCTATTTTACAAATGATATTTTTACTCGATTTCCCTTTGTAGGCCATTCCAATCTGGCAGTGTTTTTGGGTATTAATGAATTACACTGGGTGACGGGTGCAGGGAACCGTAACTGCGCCACCTGAGGATCAAAAACAAGCTTTCTGCTGTCTGCCCTTGTCCCTCACACAGTCCTGGGGGCTCGGCCAAGATCCACAACTAGCGATGACCGCTGTGTGCCAGGGTGCATGCTCCACTGTGACCTGGCTTTCCTGCGTGTCTCAGCGGAGGAAGGTGGCGAGCCCACAGGAAGTAAAGCCAAGCACGGAGCTGATGAAAACCAATAGTTGGGCTGTTATTCCAAATCGCAGCAGAACTTACCATCACCCATGTGGTTTCCAACATTCTGGTCTTCTGTTTCCATCTTGACACTGTCAAGAATGGTGACTTCATCGCTGCCACCGTCATCCCCTTCCTCTTCCTCTTCCAGATCGCCCCAGGAACTCTCTATCCCTTCTCCAATCTGGGCGGTCCCAGGAGTCCATAACACCGGTTTAGAAACACTCAACTTGTCAAGGAAACTAAGAAACCAACCAAAATCCCATCTGACCCGTGATCCAAAGAGCAGGCAACATGAGAAGAGGTTTTTTGTTTAAGAATCACGGGAGCCCACTTAAAACAAGTGTGGCACAGATAACTTAGCAGCCTGCATACAAGGTCAACTATGTACGCCCTCCATCAATGTGACTAACGCAGATGACTGGAGGACGGGTGAAATAAAGGGCTATGCAATAAATATAAATGTGACCTATTCATTTATATGATACAAAGCTAAAGATAAACATAAAGATAACACTGGTGCGGTGCTAAGCTGTATCAGAGCCAGCAGCGGCAGACGCCAAGGGCTCTCTTGAGGAGACAATAAACATGGCTCCTTCTGGAAAAACCAGGATTGAAGCATCTACCAGCCATGGGTGGAGTGACCTGGCTCTTAAAGTCCTGGATTTCTGGAGGCAAAACGAGGAGTAGAATGATTTTAACTTTTCATTTTACAAGCTACGTTATTCTACTCTTCGCAGATAGTTCCTAACTGTTCAAAGTGATTACATTTTCCAACAATGAGGACTACCTTAAGAAGAAATGCAAATCCTGATAACTAACACTGACTGATTACAGGTCTGGGGGGCAGGGCACAGAATTTAGAGTGTAATGGCCTGAGCTAGTTTTCTACGATCACTTCTTACGAACACAACCGCCAGAAAAGATACGCCTCTGAAGGAGGGTCTGCTTCTGCTATGATTTCTTCTGCTTTCTCTTCCACATCTGACGTATCCACAGGGGCCTTTTCCATTTTGAAAGCTGTGATCCTTTGGTTTGCTATTGATTCTGCAAAGCCGAACTTTCCACCTTCTTTCCTATTTTGTTTTTTGGTTTTTTTTTGGTGTGAGAAAACAAAAGGGCAAAATCATTCTGCTTATTTATCCAGTGATAGGCAAGGAGCCTCAAAATCAGGTTGATGTGCATTCTGTTGGCCATCATGACCTCACCCCACGTGTGAAAACGCAGAAAATGAGGTACTATTCAACTGGAGATCATTTACAAATTATCTTCTTACTTTTGCTTCCTTAAGAAATTGCAGTAACTTAGAGGGAGGACTTGTCTTCTCTGGCAAATTTCTTTTTAATGACAGATCAGAAAATACAAGACAGGGAGCACACCAGTGGCTTTCACAAACACACTTAGACTCTAACTGCAATTAGTGGACAAGGAACATCGGTGAGAGAAAGAGTGGCTGCTCTTCTATGCGGTGGAGGTTTCTAACCAGAAAAGCCAGGTGGGCTAAGAATACCCAGGAGTCTATGACATTTCCTCTCCATCCAACTCACCTCACTCTCCTGTCATTCTCCAAGGCTTTCTGTATGAGTTCTGTAATCTCCGCCACCTTCACACCAGCGATTTTGCTGCATCTCAGAACCTGTTTGTGAAAGCCAATGTTACTCAAAGAAAACAAAATGTCAAATGTCGTATCCTAACACAATAAAAACAGGCACATTTTGGTTCTGAGACCAGTTGGTCTAACTCTAAAAATATTGCCAATAAATTTAAGCACCTTTGCCCAATGAGGTGCTCTTTTTTAAAAGAGGAAATTCAATTATCTGAGTGTTCCCTAACAATTAAATGTAGTATTTTGTTATTTAAAAATCTGAAATGGAGATTAATTCCAAACTAGTCTCCTATTCATGTGTCATTGGCTCAAACAATATGATTTAAGTCGACAGCAACAAAATAAATACCGTAAGATTGGATGGCATATAAAGAATGAGTATTAGTATTATAAAATAATTATTTCGTGCTGGGGATTTTCAACCCCAACATCCTGTGAAGTATATCTGAAAGGCCTTTCGAGAGTCCCACAAGTGTATTTAATTTGGGTCTGCTGCTTTACTTCTATGGGTCATAACAACCTAGGAGCAGGGCTGTTCAAAAGCTCCAGGTTTAAAAAAAAAAAAAAAGAATGTAGAGAATTTCCAAATTCCAAAACAACTGACAAGTCTTGTATCTCAAATAAACACTTCATGAATTCTAATGTCTTCCATCTACCCTGCCTATGTCATGTGTGTTCAGAGCTGTGAGCATGTGGGCACCTTGTGGAAAGGGACTCATCTCGCCTCAGCACCCCCAGTACACAGCACAGTGCCGAGCTCATAGTGAGCACTCAATACAGAAATATTTGCTGACAGATTAAAATAGTACAACTTTTTTTTTTTTTTAAAACAACATACAGTTCTCCCTTTCACACTGTGGGGGCTGGGGCTCAGCATCCTCATGATCTAGAAAATCTGCATAATTTTTTTGGCCCTCCATAACAGAGAAGTCTGAATTTTTTCTTTTTCTTTTATGGGGTTTTTATGCATTTCTGAGTTTCTAAACTTTTTCTGTGTCGTCTGCTGCCCGTCCACAAAACTCCCTCAAAATTTTCATTTAATTTCTTATGCTAACACCACAATGGGGAAAGTGGCAATGGGAAGGGACAGCGGTATAATTCCAATGCTGATGTTCTTTAGATGAAGGAACATGGAATTTAGGAGTCAGAGGAGCTAGATCCACCTCTGGGACCCTGAAAAACTGGTTGTCCTCTCTAGACCTCAGCTTATTCATCTGTAAAATGAGGAACTGGGCCAGATCAGAGGTATCAAACATAGCAGCCCACATGGAGCCCACAACACTGCTTTGTGTGGCTTGAGCCAGATTAGAATGTAATTGGGAGACATTTAACAGAATGAACAAAAACACAATAAAACACAGCTAATGTTAACACGAGGCTTGATATGGGAAAATGTGGCTGGTAAGGATCCCAATGTACAGTTCAGTGACCCCATTTCTACTGGAGTCTGACACCACCAGCTCTAAAACTGACACTATGACCCGAATTTTTCAACAAAAAACCTCAACTGTCTGAGACATGGCAATTTAAAGTTCATTTTTTTCTGGTCCTTTGCATTTTGGGCTAATGAGTTTTAAGGCACTGGGGTGACTAGCTCAACTGTTTTTGTTTGTTTGTCTGTTTGCTTTTCAGAGAAGCAGGCCGCCTCTGAGTGATACGATGATGACTTCTTACATTTCTTCAAAAGGTCAATTCTGTCAAGGCCAAAGCCAAAGCATTCATTCCTGGCTGGTGGTGAGATGCTGATCTCAGTCGTTCAGTGGGCACCAGTTAAATGCACACATAGTTCAATCCTGGCTCTATGACTGGACTTTCAGCAAGTGACTTCTCTCTAGGCCCCCGACTCCTCAGCTGCAGAATAAGGACGTTACACACTAAACATGGTGACTTCAATATTACTCTTTCAAGTTCGTATTTCCAGGGGATCGAACTCCTCTAGGACCATCAATGGATTGATGATCTTGTTAACGAGGGCGTTCCTCACAGCCAGAGCACATAACCCAGCAGCCACAGCGGCTCTCCTGGCACAGCAGACGCCAGTGGGACACGCAGGCCTCAGGGCTCCTTCACTTTCACTCCATGACAGCCAATTCTTTTCCTGGTTATGTTTCTCCTTCCACCACTTCTGGGTAAATCCTGGATAAACATAATCTGTTGCCGCCTGCTCAGTCGTCCCTGGGATCATCCTCACCTTCAAATCTTTGGAGACAGCAGCATGCCCTGATTCACAGTCATACATCAAAAGAGTAGGGCAATCCAGCTGGCTTTCCTCTTTCCATCCAATTCTGAGCTCTGCTCACCATCCATTCACCTTCGGTCCATGACACATACACAGATGGATGATCTCCATGGGCGGTCCATCCAAATGCACATGATCTTGTCTAGATAAGAGGCCTTTCTCTCCTGGCTAGATGCTGAGCTCTTGAATGCTTGCAGATCTCATCGGGAGGCTCCACAGCATGCCTGGGCCTGATTCAATCTGCACAGTCATTAACGAGCAGAATCTGAAGGGCCTCACTCCAAGTGGACTCCAGGGTGCACGCGTACATGACAGCAGCATACATCTTCCTATCTTATGCCTTGCTTCACTTTCATAATCAGAGGCATGAACACAGTTACTCTGTTGTTAACATCACTTATGGATGTTGGATGACTCTGACTCGGGGCTCCCCCAAATCATCATTTCTCATAATCGACAAACAATAAGCACGTGGGGCCTTGAATTCTCTGCCCCTCTCAGTCGAGTGCATGACTGGGGTCTGCTGGAGAATCTCATCTGAGAAAGCCTCCTTATTCCTCTTCTATATCTTCATCAAGAATGCCCTCACTACACGTCCAGATGAAAACTTTTGAGAAAATGGACAGAACAATGGCCTGCGGTTGGGAAAGTATTGATGTCCTTTGGTCACTTTTTCTGATAAAAAGAATGTCTGAGATTCCCCCCACACCTTTGCTATTTCTCTATCTTTCAGATCCCTTGAGAAAGGATACTTTAAAGTCCATGAAACACTGTTCGAGCATCAGTTCAAATAGAGGCTTATATAGCTTAAGCTAGTTAAAAAAAAAAACCTCAGATATTTTTTCCTATCGTCCTTAAATGACAAGGACATAGGGAAGAGGAAGGCCTATATTTGTGATTTCACTGGGCTAGGGAATTCCTGAGTGAGGAAAACTCTCTACCAAGAAAGTTCAGCATCTTCTCTGAAACATACAGTCCTAGAGAGTTGCAGAGACTATCACTGAAAGGGTAAGTGTCTTGCCCAATGTCATATAACCAGTATGTATCAGAGGTGGGATCTGAACCCAGGTCTTCTGGCTTTGCAGTGAGCTCTCGATCCATTACAACATGCTGTCTGAATTATTTGTTTTAAAAATGCTTTAACACCATCCTTTCATTTATCTGGATCCTCCACACAGCTACATCCAGACTTGAGCTTGGCATCCACAATAGCTTGGGAACCAGAAGGTTCATTTCTTAACGCTACTCATTCATTTCTATCCTCACGGTGAGGAAGTAAAGGGGGAGAGGGTGTGTGTTGCTTCGATGATGACACCCGAGGACAGGGCACTCATGGCTCGAACGCTGGCACGAGATGACAACTCCTTTTGGCTACTTCCCCAGGTAGGAAGAGGTGATCTGCATCGGTAAGGGGCACCCACAATGCGCTGCTCTGAAATATTATTAAGTGAGCATTATGAGAGACCAGCATCCATCAGTGCCTGGATCATGTGGCTGAGAACTGACCTTATCTACACACAAACCTACTCAAGACTTGATGTAAGCGAGTAAGATGAGCTTGGGGCCTCGACCCACACAACGCCTCCCGCCATCCTACCTAACACCTCACCTGATCTTGGAGCAGCATGATCCCGCCGCTGGACTGGATGGTACAAATCTCACGGTGTTTGTTCATGGCGATCACAAGCAGGCCATCCATGACACGTTCCTCTCGCTCACTGGGATCCACCAATAAGTAAGTTCTGAAATAAAAATTTAACATTTTAATTAGTATTAATAATCCAGAACAAATCCAAGACATGCAGTGACTCAAGGGTTAAGATAGGGGTTTTGAAAAACTAAAATGACACCATCTTGTGCTACTAGAAAGCAACCTGGGGAAGCACTGAGAGCCAAAGAGAATGATTACGTTTATGAACACAGAGCAAATGCCAGATGCATCTCTCTTGGAAAACCCAACAGGGCAATTATTGCAAAACCTCTCTGTTAATATCGATTTCTTCAAATATCGCAGAATTTGTCTTTGGCTGATTAGATGACTTAAGTGTTCTACAAAAAATTAGATCACATGGACATGGTTTGATGATTTATGTTAATTCCAAGTCCACTCTTCCCCTAATCCTTTCCATCTAGGATTTCATTTCAAATTTCAAAGTACAATAAATGCCATGATATGGCAAAACTCATGACCCTAAGAGTATTTCAAAACTCTGATTATATTCCATCAAAATAGTTCAACTTACAATGAAAGTCTCAACTATCAGTTCAATGGGATGAGTCCACTGAGGGCTTCTCAGCGCTTTTCTCCAGTCCTTGTTCAGAGGTGACAGAGAAAAAATACTGAACCCCTAATGACCTGATCACAGCCCATCGTTTTCCAGGTCCTTACTCCCTGAGTTCCAGCCCTCCTTCTGATACGTACTGGCTGAGTGACCCTGGGCCAGTCACCTCTCAGTGCCCTGGACAACTGTCTAAGGCTGAGTCCCAGACTTGCTGCTGACCCTGCCAGCCCCTGGTGCTGCCGGACAAGAGTGGCTGTGGATCAGAGGGCGTGTGTGTTATCGACGTACACTCTGGCGCTGTCCTTAGGCCATCTGTTTCTGCTCCTGATGACAAACCCCTGTGACTCACCCTTGCTGGAAGAAGGCAAAACTGATGCAGATGGGCATGTGGTGGATGCTCAAAGGTACAGGGTCTCGTTCTTCCAGCGCGTACTGCACAAAAACACAACGGCCCGTAACTCCAAGACGTCAAGGTGGTAGACACGTAAAAAATGAACTGGTCTAGAGGCTCAAGGGGAAAAAATAAAATGCCCCTTTGTCACCACTGCTGCAAAAACCATCTCCTTCTCCGATGCCTCTCTGACCCTGGAATCCTCCCTCCTGAAGCTCTCTCCCCAGTGTCCCTGGGTCCTGAGAGGGCCAGTGCAGGAGCTGGGAGAAGCCTCAGTGTGACTGATACAGTCACCAGAGACCCGGGCTCCAGGGAGTCACAAGAGGACGTGGGCCGTCTGCCAGGGACGCGGGTACCCAAGCCAAATGCTTGCCTCCTGCACAGGGCATCCTCCAAGTGGGCCACCTTGGGATGAAGCTCTGGAGCTGGTACCAAGCATGCATTCAGCCTCCTCCCCAGGCACCCAAATGCCAGCGGGATGCCACCGGAGCCTTGGCACCATGAGAAAGTCTAAGCTTCAGAGAGCGCTTGGTACTAGACTCAGATCCATCAGAGATCACCAGTCTCAGAGAAGCAGAAACTCTCAGAAACCAGAAGCCAAGAGCATGCTGCTCCGGGAGTGAGATGCCTTTTGGGCAGCTTCTTCCCTCAACATTTCAGGAACACAAAGGCCCACGGAGCACAAGTTCCACCTGGCCTGGGCCCCTGATCATCAGTTAGCACAACAACCCTTATCTGTTCAGTGCTTTAAGGTTTACAAAGCAATTTACTCCTAACCACCCTGGGATTCCACCTTCTGCAACTGAACACCCAGGCAGTCCTGCCCCATGCTCTCATCATCGCTACTGTGCAGGGTCCTTCAGGGCTCAGCTCAAGTGTCACTGACTCGAGGACACCTCCCCTGGGGTCCCTAGAGGTTAAACCTCCCGCCCTCCTCAGATCCCCTTGTCTTTACTTACTTTTGTGCCTGTTGTATTCCCCTAACCCCAGCAGAATGCTTCTCAAATAGCAGAGGCTAGCTCAGTTTTTGCCTCTTTCTCTATAGCATCTGGCAAAATGCCTTCTGTTTCTTCTCTTGTTATTGGTGTAGAGACAGATATCTTGACTGTTTCTTGGTATTGACCCATTCCTCCTTTCTCATCGCACACTGATTTTCCATTAGGTACCAAGCCTCATTTGGTCATCCCCCAAATCCACAGGCATCTAGTAGTTTCTTAATCAAGGAGAGTTGAACTGAACTGAATTTGAGTTTGATCATAACCCACAGTGACACTCTGGGCAAGCCCCTATGCCTCTCTGGGCTTTGGCTTCCTCATCTGGAAAATGGGGTTAAGAGCTGTGTCCTGATTGTCATCGAGATGTCGTGAGACTCTAATGAGGTCATGAGCATGGAGCATTTCACGCTGGAATGGCAGCTTCTGTCATTTTCTAGTGGATTCCTAAATCATACTTCTTTTTTATCCCTACTGCCACCCGACACACTTTCTCCTGCATTCTTCTCTTTCTGAGTCTTTTGAGCATTTATCCCATCCAAATGCCTGGAACCACAACCATCATTAATACAGTTTTTGGTTTAGACGTGTGATTTCATCAATTGCAGGAAATTCCTAGTGTGGAAAGCTCTCTCTGCCAGAATGTGTTGGGGCCACTGAGAGTTTAAGTGACTTCCCACAGTCACAAAGCCATGACATGTCAGAGTCAGGACCCAAACAGAAGGCTTACTGACCCAAGGCTGGCCCTCCATCCACAACACCCTGCTGCCTCTCTTTATCAACACTTTCTGATAAGCACCTCTCTACCCCTGGTGCTGTTCTAGGCATGGTGACTTAGACAGCTATGACTTGGCACTTTGGGAATTTAACCTCCAAGCACCAGCACCACTGAAATAAGGGGTCCACCAAAAGATCCCTTAGCTATCGCTACAAAGACTTACCAGGGTGATCTCATCACCTTGGACTGACACATCGGGTCTCCTGAAGTGACACAACGCCACAATCGCTGCTATGCTGGCGGCGTCAATAATATTTCCATCATGATTTAACAGATGGAGATCCACACGGATCTGCCAGACCTGCAAGAGAATTAGAATAATAAAAAATAACTTCTTGTACACTATGTGTAAAACGTAATTACTTTTTAAATACTGCGAACAAGTCAAAGAAAGCAAGTCTGTAAAGTCGAGGAAGAAACATGTCACCAGGCAGCCTGGTAGGGTGGAAAGAACACAGGATGTGGCGATGGTGAGGATGACACCTCTGTCGGGACCTGCTGCCTGTCTCTAAAAGAGACTGTGATGACATTTCTGTAATGCGGCCAAATAGAAGAGGCACTGGAGTATGGAATGCAGAAACAGAAAGTGACTTGCCGTAGTTCAAGTCAGTCTATTACAGCCAAGGTTAAGTCCAAAGTGACCCCTCTGCCAGGCTGGCACCATGACTGCAGAGGAAAAAAATCACCGGACTGACAGTCAAGAGAGCTGGGTTCCAATCCTTGCTTTGTATGGACTCAGGGAGGTTAACCAAATAATCTCTGAGTGTACACGGTCTTCACTTGTAAAAGACGAAAGTGCTATCTGCCTCTATGACATACCTGAAGTAGAACGAATGAAATAAATGTGTATGACGACCCGAAAGCTCATGGGAAAGGCGATTCTATAACTCTAACGTGTAAGTTCTGTGCAACACAACAGTTGTTTATTTTTTTTTAACAGAAACAAAGTGATCTTCATAAAGACCAAATTCTACTCACAATAAAGAGACGCTTATGCCTTCCTAACAATAAACAGGATAATGCCCTAAGTATGTCCTTAAGCAGCCTCTGGGAGAGATCGGAGAATGCCCCACGAAAAGGTCAGATCAACTAAAGCTCTGTGAATGAAGGACAGACACCGAGCCCCACAAATCTATGACATTTCTCCTAGTGTTTACCATTGAAGGCACATTCTGTACCTTTTCGCCAGCAACAACACAGAGAGATTCGGTGTCTATACACTTCGAATTTCTTAGACATCTTTCCAAGAGTCGATTCAACTTCACCAAGAGATCTGATTGCCTACAAAAACAGGAATGGGCTGATGAGAGATCGCCCTTAAAACACAAACTCACTGCCGCAATACATTTTCCTCTGCCAAAAGCAGAGTAAATCCTTTTTGAAAAACAGAATCCAATACCTGCCGGGTTCAAAAGCTGGAGCAGCCATCTGAGAGAGTTCAAGGTTAAAGAAAAGAATACCTTCTGTCGCCCGACTGAGCTTTGGAGAAACAAGTTCACAGGAAACTTGCCCAAGAACTCTGCAAAAACAAAAAACAAACATTTGTCAGTGAAACGGACACATTCATTTCTTACAACTCATCTCGACTGATTGATTGATTGATTTAAAATTTTTTTTTAAATTGAATCTTCCTCTCTAGCCCAGGCTGGACATGCAGGACATGATCCCACTCCTGACTGGCCCAGGAGCTCTGACCTACACACTGCTCCCTGAGCTGAGTCCCTCCTGGGACCCAGGGCTCACTCCACTAATGCCAGACTTGGTGCAAATGCCCAGCTGGCACAGCCCAGTACAGCTCAGAAGAGCCACCAGCCCCAGCTAAACGAGAATCTCTGCTTGTGGTCACCCTTCCACAACATCAGAGGACCTTCGGTCCAATCCTTTCATTTTATAGATGAGAAAAAGTGAGGGCCAGGGTGGTTTCAGAGACTTTTCAAATGACAAAAATGCTAAGCCCATGAGGTACTTCTCAAGTTGATTTTTATTATACTTAAACGCGATGGTTAGCCTTTTCTTACCTTGTTTTCCCAAGCTCCACAACACAGCAGCCATAGTCTGCTCCAAACGAAATTCTGATGTTTCTGTAATCATAGGTCTGCCTGCCATCAAGGCGCTTCAAGAGAAAAACAACAGTTTCATAGGCAAGGAGAAATCTCAGGAGGTCCAAACAGTTCACTAAACTTGGGAGCTCTAATTCAACTCAAAAGCACTCAGGCTTCACGTGGCCTTTTCTATCTGGTGGTGTCTTATCCTTTACTAATCCATCAGCTCCATGAGAGCAGAGACTATGTCTTACCAAAACCTTATGTCTCCCTAACACCTGGTACTAGACTCAGGAGACAGTAAGAACTTTTAAAATGTGTGCTAAATTAAACTATCATCCTGACATTCATTTCTAAAACCAAACATCTCATAAACCCATAATACTTTTTATTAGAATGATAAATTTCTAATAGTGGAAGCTAGTAAGATAATCAGACCAGTTTCTTACCTTCCCCTCCCTCCCCCCAAAATTAAAAAGTCACAGAGGCATTTCTTTTTTTGAGGCCTCCACCATAAGTGGAAACGAAAGGGCTGTACTGGTGGGTTTGGTAAGAGGGTACTTCCATTAACACAAAACAAAAACATACCCTACTACAGATCACAGCTGAACTCTACAGGCCACAAACAGCTGAATCTTTCACGAGGATGGGGGGATAAGACACAAGCAGGACATGAGAAAATGGGAAACCAACTTTGGAGAGGCTGACAGCCTTGAGCTGAAGCACAATATGATAAAACATCCACAGGGTGGCCATTACTGACAAATAACACTTAACATGGGAGGAGAAAGGGAAGGGCTGCATAATACAAGGTTATGGTGATTCCCATGGGGTGGCCAGGGAAGGGAAAGGCTTAGGACATGTGTAGTTAGGAGGAAAGGGAAGCTGGCTTAGAAAGAAGGCATGGGATTAGGTTGATCTTGGTGCTTAGTTTTTGGTCCTCACTATGCCTTGGTCATCCCACCTGGGAAAATCCAGATGTGGGAGCCTGAGGAGGAAGGAACAGGTTCTGAGGAGCAGAATTGGGCTGAAACATAAGAGTGTGTCCAGGGGAATCAGAATGAACTAAGGTTAGAGCAGTATCAGATTGTGAGGGTCTTGAACTCTGGTAGATGTTCAAAGCCTACTTGGTAGACAATAGAGAGCCAGCAGGGACTTTTCTGCAGAGAAATGACATGACCACATCTGTGCAAAGGGACAGCTATTCTAGTACTGATATGAAGGACTGAGTAGAAGGGGCAGAAAGAAAAAACCACAAGTCCTGTCAGGAGGTGAGAGCAAGAGTCCAGGTGGATGGTAATGACAGCCTAGGCTGATGGTAGTGGGAACAGTGAGGAAAGGATAGTTGCAAGAATAGGCAAGACAGATAGTTTATGAATAGATTGTTTTGTGAGGAGAGGGAATGGGAAAGGTCAGAGAACATCTGTACAGTGTTTTAAGCTTGGCTAATCAATTTAACAAACATTTTGACATTAGGGACACAAAAGCAAAAATGAAAAACTGTTTTTGCCCTCAAGAACCATGGGTTCAGTAATGATCTTTATCCAGAAAACTCCCAGAGATGCACACTCAACTCTTACCTTTTTCTAAATACCTCTACCTAGATGCCATGGCCTACTGTAGACACCTCAAACTCAACACAGTCAAAATAGAAATCGTTATCTTTCCAACAAAACCAACTCTTCCTCGTAACTTCCTTATTTCTGTTGAGCACACACCATTCTCCTGGTCAAGTGGCACCTCCTTCAAGCCTTCCTGATTTCCTTCCCCAAGTCTCACCAAACCACTGTATTTATTCTCTTATCTGCTGCATTGACTTATCTATAATATGCTTCATCCTCCAGTGGAATGTAAGCTCCTTAAGGACAGGAACTGTATCCTCAGCACCAGGCATACTGCCATGTGATGCAGTAAATGTTTGTTGATTGACTGAAGTTGTCTCTTGTCACCAGGGACCCTACTATTCCCCCCAAGTGAATCCACTCAGCCTTGGGGCTTCCTTTAGGGCAGAGCTGCAAGAAGGGGGCAAGTCAAACTTCCCCTGAACCCCAGGCCAGGCTTCATCCAGTCTCATACCAGGGTCTACCAGAACAGGCATCTGGCCACTGCTCTGGAGGGTCTTTCCCCATCTTGCTCAGGGTGTAATCAGATAAACATCACCACTGCTAACAGACATGGTGTGACATTCTACTGTCACAAGGCTCCCTTCTTGACCAGTGGTTCTCAAACCTTTTTTTGGGGGGGGGGGCCACACAGTATGTATTCTTTGCTTTGAGGCACCTCTAAGAAAGAGTCTGGAGACTTGAGTGCACCCACTTTCCCTTCAATAATAGTAGCTATTTTTGAATTTTTCATGAGTTCAGGGTCTGAAATATTTTGAGGTTCGTACATATAAGTAACAAGGTTTCTTTATCTGTATTTAACATACAGACACTAGGTAAGTAAAATGTATATTAACAAGATTATTTATGAATTTTTTTTATCTGAAATAACATCTATCTGAAATTTATGGACTATTCTTTGAGAACCATTGGCTCGGGCTAAGTGCCTGTCCTCATTCCTTCACACCCATCCACGTCAGCCCCATCCTTCCCGTATCATTCCATTTTTAAACAAACTACCTTACATATTAGACATCTGCTTACATTCCTCTTAGCTCCTTGCAGAAAACACCTGCAACAGAAAACACTGAATCCCTGGGCACTCTTTCCCATATTGCATGTATCTTCTCTCATGACCCCAATCAATCCACAAACATTTATTAGCCACCTTTGTGTCGGGTGCTTGGGATACAAAGACAGAGAAAACAGTACTCACTGCCCAAGAGCTTATATTTTAGCAGGGGGAAAACATAAACAGATGGCTTTTTGGCTTTTGGGCTAAGATCAACTTGAGTAAAGACAAGGTGGTGGGTGAATGCATTAGGAGTAGAGATCTGGACGGGCTCATGTAGGAGTGGCCCCTGAGTAAGTTCTGAAGGAAGTCAGGGATCCTAGGTAGTGAGGCGGGAGCGTACGCCAGGGATGGAGCCAGGAGATGGAACATGGTGTGAGGGGCAGCCAGAAGAAGGCCGATTTGGCTGGACTCGTGTGTAATGAACGGCCAGACACCCTAGACCAGAAGACAGGTGTGCACTTCCCCTCGCTCGTCCCTTCACTTCTAGACCTTCCACGACCTCCGCTGAGAGCTTTGGAGATTCACTCCAGCCCAATGTGCAGGTTTTACACTGTGTTCTTGACTAGCCCTGGCTCATTCTCCCTCTTTTCTCAACCAGTTCAGTATGTGGCACAGCCTGTCTGTCTCTAGCCCACGCCTTCGATTTGGAACTGACTTAACATGCTGAAGTCTCCACAAGTATCCTTACTTCCCAGGTGAGCTTTCTCAACTCCTCGGATCTGTATCCAGATTCCTTTACCATCCACAACTAACACCTCTGCAGACCTCCCCTCCTTCCTCGGTGCCTCGCCTCGCCTCGCCTCCCCCCACCCCTTCACCTCAGGGCTCTCCCCTCTCCCCTCCCCCTCACCTCCCAGCTCCCAGCCATCTGGCTTGTTCAGTCACCGGAAGCTGCTCTCTCCCTAAATCCAAAGGCCTTTCCTCAGTGGGGGGTTTGGCTGTTGTCTGTCCTTCCTTCTCAGAGGACCGCGACCTCAGGTGGGAGATGTCCTGACTGGCAAGTGAATCGGGCTTAAGTGAGGCAGGGCTGCGCAGTCACCGGCCTCACTCTCTCCTCTGGAGCCGTCTGGGGTCAGAGGCCAGAAGGTACAGAGCAGGCCGACCGCAGAGGGCCCCAGACGCGGCACGCAGTAGGAGGCCGAGGCCCTTCCCAGGTCTCAGCCCATTCGGTAAAACTGAGGCAGAGAAGGGCCTCTTCCGCCTAGTCAGAAGACCAGGCCTGTGGCAGGGGAAGCCCTGCGGGCTGGCGAGCAGTGAGAGCCGGGGTCTCGGGCGCGGGCCAGGCGTGCCACAATTCACCTCTCACACTCCCGGCTCTCCTCTTCCTTCCCAGAGGATCAGCCTCCGGTCCGGCCTCGGGGCGTGGGCTGCGCGCCCTGCCCAGCTGTCACCTCCGCACATCGCCCCCCACCGTCCCGGGGGGCCCCTCAACTCCGCCAGCCTTCCTTCCCACACCCGGACTCAGCCCGCTCTGCCTCGCCACCACCCAACCGGCCGCCGGCCCCCGCGCTGCTTGTGCCCTCTCCGGGACAGCCGGGGAGAAGCCCCAGCGGCCGCACGCGGGCTCCCGGCCCCGCCCCTCGGGGCTTCCCCCGCCGACGTCACGAGGCCCCTCCCACAGGCCGCCTCTCAGGATTCGGGGCGGTTTATTTTGTATTTGACGCTTCACAGAGACGCAGCGGCGGGGGCGGGGCACGTCCCTGCCCCTCTCGGGCTGCCAGCCTGCACGGAGGAGGGGCTTCGCCGCCCGAGGCGCCTGAGAGCGAGCCAGGCTGCGCGCATGCGCGAGCGCGCCACCTCCCCGCATCCCGGGGCGCCTAAAGTGCGCGTGCGCCCACAGTGAGGCCGGGTCCGTGGCAGAACGGAAGCCCGGTTTTTCGGAGATTTAAGTTCAGAGCCGCTTCCCCATATAAACCCGGAAGCGGGGGGGAGGCTGGGGAGCGGGTACCCGGAAGACGCTCCGATCGGACCCCTTTCCTCTTGTATCACTTGACTGTGTGGCCGCGGCCCAAAGTCTGGCGAGCCCGCGCGGACATCGGAAGGCGCATGCGTTCTGCTCCATGCGCGCCAGGGAGGGGGCGGACCGGGAGAATGACAGTTGCTCCGCCCCCGCCCCGCCCCGCCCCGCCCCGCCCCGCCCCCACCTTGCCTCTAAACAGCGGGCTCGAGGCCGCGCGTGCGCGAGGGCGGAGGAAGCGAGGGCGCGCGGGCTTTCTTCCCTACCTTCTTTTCCTCGATGGCTCGGAGCAGGAAGCGCCTCTCGCAGTTAGATAACGGCGTCTCCTTCATGGCACCGCCGTTCCGGGGAGCGCTGAGACCCTAGAGCCTGGAGAGAGGGAGGGGAATGGAAGCGAGGCGAAGCGCGCGTCGCTTCACGTGAGTCCCAGGCGTCTTCGGTCGCGCGGGAGACTGACGGCATCAGTGCGCGGCCCTGGGAGATGGGGGGGAGGGGAGTGCTGGGCGCTCGGCTGTCGCTCTGCGCACGCGCGAGGGCCGGGGCTTTTCCGCGCAGGCGCCGCCATCTCCCCTGCGAAGGGGGTTCTCGCACTCTCGAGTGGCGTGTTCACGGGCAGTTCTAGGGCACGAGACCTAGATCACCTGGGCAGTCCAGGTCCCCACTTTATAGAGGAGGAAAAGGGCCAGAATTGTTGTTGAATGGCCCAGCCGTGCCGCCTCCTCCAGGGAGGCCCACGGGATCGGGACTGTGCGTCCTCCCTGACCATCCCCTTCTCCGGTGCCGTTACCCCGGCTTCACGGAGCACCCGAAACCTCGTGTTTGTCGTCATCGGTGATTACTGGTGATTGCCCAGGGTACGCCCTTCTCTGGGGAATAAAGTTCGAATCTGGCCTCGGACGCTTCCCAGCTGTGTGACCCGAGGCGAGTCACTGAACCTCGTTTGCCTCAGTTTCCTCGTCTGTCAAGTGAGCTGGAGAAGGAAATGGCAAACCGCTCCGGCATCTCTGCCAAGAAAACCCCAGATGGGGTCAGGAAGAGTCGGACAGGACTGGAAGGACTCGACGGAAAGGGAATAAAAGTGACCCACCCGGAGATACTGGGGTCACTCGGGGTATAAAGCCAAGGCCTCTGAGTGCGAACGTGGCCTCTTTATACTGCGTGGGTCCTTAGACTAGAAAGCCAGCTTATGCCTTAGAGAATGCTGGGGTCAGCGCCTGGGGCAGCCTGGGCAGGTGTGGGCCAGCCCCACGTCCCTGATAAGGAAGTGGGAGCAGAAAGGGTCAGGGACCTGCCGGGACCCCGCCCCCCCAGCTGTCAGATCCAGGGGCATTCCCCCCCCCCAGGCTCTGGGCAGTGCTTCTGAGCGGGGAAGGTGAAGGGAGGTCAGATTCGGGGTGCTGGCCCAACCACTTACCCTTGGAGGACAGCCCACCACCTTCTTTTGAGACCTTTGATGTGAAACGTGAAGGGAGACCCTGGGATGAGTGGGCGGTCAGGGAAGGAGAGGGCGAAGGAGCCAGCGCAGTTGACCCAGTCAAGCCCGTGGCGGGTCCCAACCGTGACTGTAGAGGGAGGGGGCCATAGCGGGAGGCAGGGGGCTTGACCTGATGGCCTTGAGCCGCGCTTGCTGGGGTTTGGGCGGATGACTCACAGATCTGTAGATCCAGCCCTTGCTCCACGTGCCCAAAATGAACTCGTTATCTCTCCCCCACAAGAAAATTAAATTGGAAAACTAAAGAAAATAAGTCTTAATTCTATTTCTTTGTCATGTTAGAATGAACCCTCCACAAAAGTCCCCAAGGGAAGAATACTGCCCCTCAAGAAGTTGGGAGTATCTAAGGTCACCTCCGCTGCAGTTACTAAGAGGGGGACAGTGGGGACGGTTGAGCAGAAATGGGTCACAGTTTATGGCCAATGTACATCCAAATGCCAGGAAAAAAAAAGCATTTCCTTTTTAGGCAGCAGAACAGAAAAGGGATGGCCTATGAACCTGTGACTCAGTTTCATAACCCTTGTATTTTAAATTGCCCATGTTATTTTCAAAACTGTTCCCTTAGTCTGTATTCCCTTCTGTTTGCTTCTGTGCATTTTAAAAAATGTTTCAACAAACTCTTTTTTTCATCAGTATTGCTTAACTCCCCTTTCTCTCCCTCACACTCCCATTAGAAAACCAAGAGCAAACAAACAAGACTTGTAACAAATAAGCATAGTCAAGGAAAACAATTTCATAGTGTTAAAAAACGTGTTTCATCATAAGTCCTTTGAAAACATGGCTGGTCATTGCATTGATCAGAGTTCTCAAGTCTCCCAAAGTTGTCTTTACAGGGTTATCCTAATATGAATTGCCCTTCTCTTTCCTCCTCTTCCATCCTCATGTCTCTGTTTAAGTGTTGTCTTGGATGTTTTTCTTCTCCAGACTCTTTGTGCCTGTCTGTATATCCAAAATTCTTTTGCCTATTTCAGGTAAGAGTGAGATTCATCTGATGCCTGCTTCTCCTGTCCTTTCCTGCATGTGTGTGTAGTGTTCCCTTGCACCCCAATTAAGAGAAATCCATTCTTCCTTCTCCCTCTTTTCTAAACCAGTATATGTGGGGCAGCTAGGTGGTGCAGTGGATAGAGCTCCAGCCTTAGAGTCAGGAGGACCTGAGTTCAAATGCGGCCTCAGACACTTGACACTTACTAGCTGTGTGACCCTGGGCAAGTCACTTGACCCCAGTTGCCTCACCAAAAAAACTAAACCAGTATATACCTTTTATTCTCCCTTCTCTTCCTCCCCTTAGATCCTGAACAATCCACCTGGGGTCATATGTTTTTCTTTTTTAACTCAGTACCCTTGAAGACACTGAGGGGATGAAGATAAATATATTTCTTTTTCCCCCATTAGAATACTATCTCTACAACATCATATATCCCCTTTTAATTACTCAAGTAAACTTACCTTTCGAGTTTTCTTTTTTTAACTTTTCTTTTTTTTTGTTACATTTTAAATTCCCAACTGTCAGCCTCCCTTGCCATCCCACACTAGTGTAGTGAAGGCCACCATTTGACACAGACCTGTGTGTGTGTGTGTGTAACTGTGTAAAACCATACTATGCATTCTTCTACTTAACATTTCTTTCTCTGGAAGTAGATACCGTCCTCTTTCGTAGGTCCTGGCAAGATATTAGGAGACGCCCTGTTTTCCAGAGTTAAGACCTGGCAAGCCAGCCATACCCTGAGCTTGGCATACAACAATCCTTCGCTCTCACCCATGATCTCATCCTCTGGCAAAATCCCGTAATTACTGTATTGCTTCGACAAGTACCAGATGTTCTCTGGCCTCTGACAAGTTCATCCCAGAAGATGAAGGGGACCAGTAACAAGGACAAAGGAAAATCCTACATGCTGAAGAGATTTCTCTGCCACTGGCGGCATCCTGGGAGACAAAATATTCATCAGCAATCATGACCTTTTCCCCCTGCCTTAATGCCCAGAAAGACACTGGTGGTTGGTGGTTGGTGGCCCTTGAACGTGCTGGGTTTCTGGTGGCATTGGCTTGGATGTCACTGTGATAATTCAGTTCATTCTCCTGAGACAGATTGACCTGGATATAGCCAACAAAACGGGGGACCACGTGCAAAAGCGTGGCATCTCATTCACAAAGCAGTTTGCTTATTAAAGGTGCATAGATCAAGGAAGGCATGCTTGGCACACTCGGGTGGTGGCTCCGGCCACACCACTCCTTCACAAAGCTCCAGGGGTCCCGGGTTTGTTCTTAATTCAGTGAAACAGGGTGACTTCTTCCAGGAATAATCACAGCATTCGTATGTACACTCTGCACCTAGTGGTGGGAGGAAGAAGGATTCCGAATACCTTGTTGACCTATTCTCCAGTCTTTCTGGCAAGGTGAGGAGAACAACTTGGGGTTGAGAATGAGAGCCTAAAACCATCACAGCTCGGTTTTCTTGTGAACAATCTATCGTTAAGTCCTCTCTGGATAAACTCAGTAGGGAGATGAGGCAGTCCGTCAGCACTAGTGATCTCCCCACTTTTGGGGGAAGGGAGAGGAACAGACCCATTTCCCTGGCTCTTTTGGCTCTTTTGGCTCTTTCCTTGCTTGCTTAAAAAAAACCCAAAAAGATATTGTTAATATCAAATTTTAAAATTATTTTTTAAGCCCACAGATAGATCTGTTGGATTTTTGTCTTTCATAAACACCACGTTTGGCTCCTTTGTTTTGGGGGGAGGGATGATGACGGAGGATGGTACCAGGTAGAATCTTG